TTTAATAGAGGCAAGGTCTACCTCTTGCTGAGGCTGGTCTTGAACTTCTGAGCTCAAGTGATCCATCCACCTAAGCCTCCCAGGGTACTTGGATTATAGCCACTGCAGCCGGCAAGAATAGTGTACCTTTAGAAAAATGTTCTAAATGCAGAAACGTGCCTTAAAGGTATAGTTATGGTTACTTATACATTTATTGTCTACTGAACAAGTCATAATTCAGTTGTGATGGGTAAGGATGCATAAACCTAATATTTGTGAAAAATTTTCACAAAATAAAATGTGAATAACCAAAGGAGAAAAATAGCATCTGGAGAATGTACCAGAATAAATCCTGTGACAATTTAAGAGTTTTTTAAAAGCAATTATTTCTGCTTAATTTTGGGAAGAGATAAAGATTAGAAATTTATTAAAAGCAATAAAAGCATTATGCCACAGAATATCCTATATCCACCAGATTTTCTTTTTTCTTTCTTCTATCTTAGCTAAGCAATACCCTTTCTGATTCTCATGTTTGACCTTGTGAGATCTAGGTCAAAATTAGAAAGTTAATTGTCATCCTTTAATCTGTTCTTGAAAGAATGCTAGCATTTATGTATGTTTGTTTTTGGAAGGTGCTATTTTCAGCACTAGTATCAAATGATTATTAATTTAATTCATGCTTGACTATTACTTATTTAATCTGCACAACAACATAATTTAAGTAAGTACTAGAATTATTCAGGAGGATTGGATAACTTTCCAAGAGTTCACAGCCTGGTTCAGTGAATGCAAACATTCACCTGCCTTACCTCATAGCCACACCTTTCTTTAAATAACAGTTAAAGGAACTAAAATAAATCCAAAAAGTAAAAACTGAGTAGATTGACAAAAAAATAAGAAAGGAGATAATGGAGGGACAGTTGTCAACTGATTACACAAAGGCTAGCAAGTTGTAGTCTTAGCCCAGTATTTTTTATCCCTTTTTATCTCACAGCACCCTTAAGTCTATAGTTAAACATCCGTGGCACACTTAAATTATGTTGATCAAAAACAAGAGTAAAAAAACGAGTGTACTTACTGTGCTTTGAATTTCTTTCAAAAATAATTTAATTAATGATCTTTAGGACTTTTCATGGCACACCTGAAATCCTCTCCTGTACACCAGTGTGCCGTGACATACAAATTGAAAATCACTGACTTAGCTCATTGAGGTGAAACCCGTGAAGCTGACTGATTTATCCTTCTAACCCCCAGCAAGCCTGAGGAAAAACACTTACTAGGTGCTGCGTAGCTCTGAAACGGGGTGGGGGTGGGGGGATGACTGAAAGTTACCACAGGTAGTAACTAGATGTACCATCCTGGGGCTGCTTTTAGTATTAGACAATTATTACAACTAATAATGATACAGAGAATGTGGATATTGTTGAAATAATTCATTAAAGACCTGGCAAGTTACCTCACCCCTTTAAATCTCAAATCACTCATCTGAAAATAAGTAGAATGTGGAGCATACAGCAGTTTGTGTTGAGAGTTTGATGTGGCACCATTACATACAAAGCATTTTTACCAGTGTCTGGAACAGCAAAAGTGCTCGAAAGCATTTTTTAGCTACAATTATCTGTAAGTCTGAGAAAAGTCAGTAACCTAACTGTGTTTTCTGAAGTGGACAAATGATTTTACTTACAATATATTTAAAGTAGAATGCTTCTTTCAAATAATAATTTCAGGTTTATTCTTGTACAAACAAGCTCAGAAATTATCTCCTGTTATAGTGGACTATCAGAATAAAGAAATGACATTCAGGAATCAATTTTCCAAATGTTACATTGTCATTTTAGCTAACGTACACTCCAAATTTAATTCTTGTTGTACCACGGAAGAAATTCAGCCCCATTTTAATAAATTACTTAATGATTTCCATTAGTGTGACTTGCTAACATAACAATTCCGTATAGAGAAAAACTGTTCTCAAAGTTATTAATAACTGAAAAGTTTATTTTAATTCCAATAGTTATTGTGTTAATTGTGTTATATTTATGGCCCCCTCCAAGCCTAAGCTGAGTATTTTCAGTCTCATAGAATTGTATGTATCTTTTCTAAGTCTGATTATTTGCCTGGTATACTAGCATTGCATATTTTCTCATGAGTACATTTTTAAATAGGATTATATATTATTTCTGATCCTATAAAACTGTCTGTTTCTAGAGTTACGTGGTGTAAAACCTTAGAGTCTCCGTTATTATTAGGTATACATTATGTGGTAAGGCTGCTCATTTGTTAGTCAGCTGTCTTTCACAAATTCATATGGTCCTAATAATTTCTCCGAATCATGTCATGATTTGTATCACAGTTTGGATTTGTTTTTAAGGAAAAGCCACATCATTCATGTGATTTTTCTTTTTACTCTTTTGAAAAATATAGATGAAAAGTAACATTATGATTAAAAACAGGAATAATAGATTATCATAACTAGGCACGGACTGTTGAGTCACTGTCAATATAGACTGTCTACCTAAAAAATGTTTTAAATCAACAACTTTCAAAGACATAGATCTGTTTTTAAAATGTTGGGTGTTAAAATGAGTTCATATTTAAATGAGGCTTGGATATAAATTGCATTTTAAATCAGAGAAAGTATCCTATTCACCATTTGTAACTGAATGAAAACTCAATGTGAGCAGCAATGTATATTCTCTGGATTTGTTTCCATATCAGAGCACCATTGTTCAAGACGTCAGATGGGTCATCTTTTATTGGCAATTTTTAGGCTGCTAAAGTTGAATTTTCCTAGAATGTTCTATTCAGACTCCAACTGGTAGTCCATGATAACTGGCTGGTAGTACTGTGTGGAAGAAAAGTAAATATAAGAGCTCTATACACATAAACATTAGCTATCATATTATATTCTATTATATAATAGCTAATTATATAATTACTATTATACCATATAATTAGCTATTATATAACATTTTCTTGACTGATTTTATAGATTTATTTTTTGAATCTGTGGTAAAGTCTGAGGTGAGAACAACAACAAATCTTTCAATTTTTCTCACAGTGCTTTACTAGAAACATAATCTCTTAGGATGGTCATTCATCAAACATCTTTTCCAGTTATCTATATTTCTGTGGCTATAAGCTAATCATAATGATTGTGGTAATTTTTCCAAATTTAGTTTTAGAGTAAAACATTTTATCATTCTCTGATTAATATTCCAATTTGGAGTAGTTATTCTGAAGTTAGAACTCATATTCTGTTGAACTTGGTGCTGATTATAGAAAAGATGAATTCAGTGTTTTTGCTCCTAAGCCTTCATTTTAGCAAACATCTCATGTTTCTTCCAGTAACTACTTCAGTACTTCTGGACAAATAAATTCTACCAGCTCTTTCTTTTGTTGATAGATCATCTGTCTCAGAGCCATAATCATAATTCAGTTATCTTTTCTTGTAGCATCAGAGGCTTCTTGAAATGCTAGATACAGAGAAGGAATTGTTAAGAGAAAAAATAAAGGAAGCTTTGACTCAGCAATCTCAAGAACAGAAGGTAATACTTTAAGTATGCTCAGAGTGTAGAAAGAGTGTCCTTTGTTACCTCAAATAATTGTGTCATTCCAACTATCTCATTATTTATAGGAAATATTGGAAAAATGTTTAGAGGAAGAAAGGCAAAGAAATAAAGAAGCTTTAGTATCTGCTGCAAAGGTATTTCCATTTGTAATAATGGGTTTCTTTGGAATTAAAAAACTGAATTCATTAATAATATTGTCAATTTGCTTTTATATAATGTTTTATTCTAGAAAAATCAGAAAGTTTTTTTCATTATTATTTCTCCTTTTAAATTTAGGATGTGACTTTTAATATTCTTTTTTTCTACTTTAAAAAGAATTTCAGGTTAATATAGGATACACATGATTAGATTACCTTATTACATTTGTAGTATACAAGATTATGATGGCATTGAAATGATTTACAATAGAGATTGTTAATTACCTGTTAAAAGAACATACATGTCAGGACACTGATATCCACCTGGTATTTGATAGATAGCTTCAGAGGCAGCATGTGTGTGTATGTGCGCGTGTATCAAGGTAAATAATTTTTAGAGCCAAGTTTAAACTCTAATAGTTAAATAGTGCATTCATGCATGTAAATAGTGTATTCATGCCTGCAAAATACATACACATCAGAAAATGCATTTTTAGTCCTAACTTTTGAGCTTTAGGGTCAAAATTAAATTTAATAAACACATAGTGAATCTCTCTTTGATATAGAAAACAAATATAAGAATATAGCTATCTTCTATTACATTGAATATTAAAGAGGTTAAAGAGATTTACATGTAACAATGCCATTTTGTTAATATATAAGGCATTCAGTGGTATTAATTTGAAATGAATTGACAAGTATTATTTTTTCAGATTTGAGATTCTAATATGATAAAGGTTAACATTTAAAAAAGGCTCTTTGATATCCTTAATAATTTTTAAGATTTTGAAGTATCCTAAGGCCAAATAGTTTGAAATCTGGTACTTTAAGCCAAAGCTTGATTGCTTTGAAGTTTAGAAACACTATGGAAGTGTGTAGAATGTAGAAATATTTGTATAAAACAGAAATATGTATTTCATTTCATAGCCATTATTTACTGCATAAAAGCAGCAGTATCAGAATTAAACCGTATAGAATCAAAGTTTTGTGTCCTATACGTTAACCAAGTCCATCTTATTCAAGGCATCATGGTGCAGTCACTCATTCAAATGTTTTTATTCTGATTATTTATTTTGAAGTTTGAGAAAGAAGCAATGAAGGATGTAGTTTTAAAAGCTATAGAAGAAGAGAGAAAAAATTTGGAAAAAGCCCATGCTGAAGAAAGGGAATTATGGAAGACAGAACATGCAAAAGATCAAGAAAAAGTATCTCAGGAAATTCAAAAAGCTATACAAGAACAAAGAAAAATAAGCCAGGTTA